AGGCACGATCTCACGATAACGCCTCTATAATGGCATTAGATAGTACCTTTTGTTTTTCCAGTGTCCTGATGATGGGAAGAAAGAAATAAGGAATGAAAGCCGCTGTCATCGACTAGAAACCTCTTGGTTTATGGACGTTACTCTATGGTTGTCTCCATTGCTTGTGGCAGAGTGATGGGTCAGCTGATTTCCCCTCCCCCTTTATTGACTTTTAATGAGCGGTGGCCGACTCCACTCCGCTTCGGTAACGACGCCAGGAAGGGGAAGGCCTCGTTTGTGAATCATGGCATCCTTCGTTTTGTTGCCCGCCCGTGGAAAGTCTTGCTTTAGAGAAGAACGCTTTTGTGTAGTTCATGTCAAGTTCAGGTCAATTTTTAAGCTGCTGATGATGGTTGTCAACAATTTCAGTATATAGCCTTTATTTATCTTGCATTTTTTGTTTGTTTTCCGCAGGTGAGTAATCGTGTTGGATCGCCCAGGGAATCAACGACCCCCAAACCCTCAGTAAGTCAGATGTATTTCTCCTTTTACTCTTGGTTATCTTTCGGTGGTTTGTCTCTTCTGATCGCGGTTACTCCTCCCTACTTTTCAAGCAACGGGAGGCGGCGGGAACTAAAAAAGAGAAATATGTATGTCGCTATTGTAGTGATCATCAGAAATGATCGTACAAAGATCTGATATCATGCCAGACTTCCGTATGGATTTATAATTTTGCTCTTTAAGAGCTTCGCTCCATTCAGGGCGCCAATTGTCCGGCCAATTGGGCCGCGTTGGACGCTCATTGTCAGGGTGTTGTTCTGTTCCGCTAAGAAATTTATGGATGTTTGAAGTTGCGGCACAAGGTGTGTCCTTAGAAAAGATAAGTGCCATGAAATGTAAAAAAAAAAAAGAAGAAAAAAGAGGTGGACGATATCTCTCTCTAGCACGCTGGCGCTATCTTTGGCTCAGCGGGGGGTAACACACAGACACACACACACGCGCGCGCGCGCGCGCACATAGCGGCTCACAGCCGTGACATTGACCTACATGCAATCCCAAAACAAATACACTGGGGCGGACAGACGGCCGGACGCAGACAGACTGGCGTGGTGGAGCGGAGAGCGAACACGTGGTTTAGTTTCCTCGGCTGTGTCCGTGTGTGTATGTGTGTGTGAGAGAGGGGGAGGGCGACGGCAGAATAACAAGCATTTACCTTGGCGACACTTTTCGCCTGAACTTCCTTCCCAATGCATATATCTCTGGGACGCACTTTCGCCCCACGCATTGTTCGTAAAGTATCGGTTCAACTCTTATTCCCTCCATAACTTGGACAAAAACATAGAAGCAATTGATTTTAAGTTTTTGTTTGATAGTAATGTTGCTTGCTGTCGTCGCTGAAAGATTAGCGAAGCCGAGGTAACGGCGGCGAGTCGATGTCGATACGCACCAGATGGTAATCGAGCCGTGTAGCGGTGCCCGCGCGCCGCGCCGTGGCGTTTTGACATTCAAATCGAGTCGAAGGGGTAGCTATCCTGCCGCGGCGCGGCTGGCAGAGGCGGGCACGTTCAAGCGCGAGTCGCTCGTTGGCCTCCCATCGCGTTGTACTGAACAAGTGTTCGGACTATCTGTTGTCAAATGTCCGGCGTAGTCCGACCGTAGCCCCTGGTGCATAGGCAGTCCTGCCGCGCACGTGCGCTCGCGTTGCCTATCGGCCAGGCGCGCTCTGGTGACCGGAGCCCCCGGTAGGTAGGCAGCCGTGCCGCGCCCGTGCGCTCGCGTTGCCTACCGGCCAGGCGCGCTCCGGTGACCGGAGCCCCCGGTGGGTAGACAGCCGTGCCGCGCCCGTGCGCTCGCGTTGCCTACCGGCCAGGCGCGCTCCGGTGACCGGAGCCCCCGGTAGGTAGGCAACCGTGCCGCGCCTGTGCGCTCGCGTTGCCTACCCGCCAGGCGCGCTCCGTTGACTGGGGGCAGGCCGGCAGGCCTACCCGACCCCATACCGCGCGAAGGGCAACAGTGTTTACCTTAGGACGGGACGCAGCGAACCCATTCGACTGGGATCAGGCGCTGATCGCGTCAGCTGATCGTGTGCGGTGGCGGTGGCGCCGTGTGGCCTTTGCCGCTCCCCGCCTCGCCCCTCCCCCTCGCGGAGCCGGCATGTTCCGCTGACAATCGGTCCGTCCGTACGCGCTCGACCGGAATAAGTCGCCGCTTGCCGTGGCGGCGGCGGGCCGTGCAGACCGGACCGGGGGCCCTCGAGGGCTCTTAGGTATTTCCGCCACGAGAACCGCCGTGTCCTTCTGACGGACGTGAGTGTGGGCGTTGCGCCTGCGGGGGCGTGTGTCAGTCCGTCCCGTCCTGCTCGACGTCGACGACGAGTACCTTCGGTCTTGAGTGGTGGTGATGGACCCACCCTCCATGGGTTTTGAATATCCCGCGCTGCTAATAATGGAATGCAAATTTGATGATTCTTCGCGCCCGTCGCTCACCTCCAACGTTTGGACCGAGTTTCGAATGAGTCTCTAAGACAATAAAACGCCGCCTGGATTCCCATGCTGTTTCAACAGTGCTAAGACAAATGTAGATTGTTTTTGCACACGTGCGTGAAATAAATCGGGATGTTTGTACACTTTTTGATTTGGTTAACGCGTGTGACTAGGTGGGAAAAGCATATTAGGATTAGAATAGGAAAGCGATTCATAACTTTGCGTTTTTTTCGGGGTGCTGGAGGAGGGGGGGGGGCATTAAACATTAAGCACCCCTTGAGATCCACTTCGTCGGTGCTAAAGTTCGCAGTGCGTGCAAGTACAGCACAATGAAGTGTTTTCCTAGTGACAGCTGAGGACTAGTGGGTAGCGATGGTTAGTAATGATTTGATAATGGCGCTGGACTCACGTGGTCGCCGGATTAATCCTCCCGGTTCTGGCGAGAGTCTCTGGCTGTGGACCCAGGCAGCGCGGCCCAGCGGCTCCCCAGAGCGCTGTAGTTAAGCCCCCCTCCCCTTTCCCCTCTTTTTTTTCTCTTTCTCCCTGGCGTCCCTCGCGGGTAGCGGGGCAGTGAGAGAGAGAGAGAGAGAGAGAGAGAGAGAGAGAGAGAGAGAGAGAGAGAGAGAGAGAGAAACTGCGAGCGGAGAGGGAAGGGGGACGTGACGCATAATTCTCCTCGGTCTTCCTTGACCTCGGGGCCGAACCCAGTCCCTATCCTGTCTCTCGCTATCTCTCTCTCTCTCTCTCTCGCTTACTATCTCTTCCCATCTCC